TCGTTCTCCATAAACAGAATTTCCTGTGTGTTGAAGATGATTCCTCAAAGGTGTTGGTGTGACTGTTAATAATAAAATGCATTGGGACAGTGTTCTAGCAGAAGGATGAACCACCAAATTTCCATTGAGACCGTGATGCAGTCTCAAAATGGTGCATCGGCCAAAGTTGGGAAGAAAATTTGGATGCTGTACATTGTAAATCTCAGCAAAAAATGCATCCGGTAAGTGGAAAGGAAAAAAACGCTTAACATTTTCATGTTTCACGTCTCTAAATGCATAAGAGTGCTATCCGCCAACGCTTATCCGAATATCACTGAAAAGCGAAAATAAGAATGATTGCACTGCTAGAAATCAAGAAAGCGTAACTTTGAAACGAAATAGTAAAACCACAATGCAAATTCATTCATTCAGGGACTTCGGCGAGGACCAATCGCGAACTACAGACACGACAAGGTGAAGGTAAGTATTCAAGCCGGCATTTAGACAAATCACATCTCACATTCGCTCGTTCAGTCGTTCGCGTTTGCATGAGCTCCCCCTTCTATTTCTCGTCATCCTACCTTTGTAATTCTTCTTCACCTCCATCTCTCATTTTCGCTCGTGGATCCACGTAAAATCCTCTCTGAACTTACACTCACGTAAAAAAGGTACCTAATTAGCAGAAGCGCTGCAATGGAGAAGGAAAACTCCGGACTGAGAACCCGGCCGGTGGTCCGTGAGACCTACCTAGAGAAGGAAAACTCGAAGAAAACCCGGAAATTAGTGCCTCAACGAGTATGTGGCCACAAAACAAAAGATCATCTAGAACAGGCACAATTTCTCGCTTGATCTCCGGAAACACAAGGAAATTCCCCTAGAGTGGCAGTCTATCGGAAATTCCTATGACATGACAAGACAAAGTTGCATAGCAAAGTGGAAAAAGATAAAACCCAGTGATAAGGGTTTCAAAACATTCACTGAATACCAGACTGAGTCACCACGGCTTGCCTCCCACAACATGTGAGGAAATGTTTTTACATAACAAGAAAATGCTCGCGAAGATCAAAAAATGTTTATCTGCGAGACGATGTTGAACATAGACACATATATACCGACATCCTTCGAGCCTCCATCTGTCATTCGCCGCGCGCCAAGCGTCGAAGTATGTCGTCAGCGAACCCAGCATCCAGCCTGAAAGGGGTTAAGCAAAAGTTGACAAGACAGCTTAACAACCTTAACGGCCTTATCATCGAAGCCTTGGACTATCAAGCCCCATGGCAGTTCCCTGTAACCCTTAAGGAAATACTACAGTTTTTGGCAACAAAAACCATAATGGTGCAAGAATTGCATGGTAAGCTAGAAAAACAGAAAGAATCAATTTCAGTCTTGTACCAAGAAACCGTTGAGGCTCGCAGTAATACATTGACGGAAATAAAGAGCAGTGATGAGAAAGAAACAATCGATGAGTTCGACGAGACTGGAAATCAAAGAATGGGGAAGAAGTACTCGAAGAAGCAGAAAAGCAGTTACGGTTATTAGAGAAGCGACTGGTAGAACTTAGATGCCAGAGCGATAGGCCTCCGCAGGAAACCGAACATGTGGGAGATGCCTGGGCGGTTGTGGAAGCGAATCTTAAGGTTGATACCACCTCCGGTTGTATTGCAAGGGATCGTGAAACCCATTCGTTCACAACTAACTGCTTGAACATTCATCCTTGGAGGCAAGTACAGGTTACGGTACTAAAGGCACCTTTAGCGCATCCGTAGCAACCTGTGAGATCTGCGTCTCCTATTTCGCAGGTTGCTTCATCAATGAGAAGCGCTGGTTTATAGGCATCTTGAAAGGTAATCACAACCTCTGCTGTAACCATAGAAAAAACTCTTGCCTGAACTCTTGAAGCTCTGTGAGGCGAAAAGGTTATTGCTGGAAAGACAACGGGGAGTTGATTTCGGTGTTATTGAACCAGTCAGATATTGAAAAGTCTGTGCACCTGCAATTCACATGGGTTTCCGCCGAAGTACACCTACAATCATCAAAAAGTGTACAATTGAGTAGTTGAGCGCTAGCGAGGTCGGGGCATCGCAATGCAATGTGGTTTTCTCTTTTCCACAATGCGGTACGCCTTGAATCGGAAATGAAGTAGGTATTGAGCAAAGGGGTCGGAGGAAATGCGAGCGATGTGAGCGTCATGCGAAAAGACTTGCACTGCGTTGGTAAATTCGGTGTCAATCTCACTACGGTAGTAGATCTTTTTTGCGCCCTTCGAAATGATTTACTTCTACCTTAGCCGAGCTTTTCCACCGATTGCAGCGGAAGATCTCAAACACTTGGCTGACTGGTGTGGCGTAGATTCTGTAGAATAAGCACCCCGAACTAGGTAATAGACAGTCACAACCCAGTCCTCCACAAGATTCGAAGCATGCCGTATTGCCTGGATATTGGTTCCCTTCCTTAAGTTCGGGGATAAGACTCGAGGAATTGATGGATCCGCACTTATCTCCGATGCAAGAGCCCTTATGGGAAACATCGTTTACTGTCTATATTTTGTGGATCGTGTCCCTTGTGAACAAGTCCGTCTCTGGTTCGCATCCCAATTCTAAAGACTTCCATCGTACGCGTGGTTCATGTAAAGAAGTGTTATTCAAACACAGCCGGAGACAGGCTTCTTTCGTGAAAGTATTGATTATGAATGACAGTGCGGCTTAGAATCTCTTGTGCAAATCGTAGAGTAGTGATCAAAAAGATCTATTAACTTGCATTCCTTCAATGGAGCGATTAAAACTACCAGCATTTCTATAACTTTGGCAAGATTGTGATTGCGGAATCCCCTTCAAGAGTTCGTCCTTCCTATGAGCTTTCTGATTCTACTAAAAAGGAATCTATTGACCATAATAATGCAGCTAGAACCCTAAAGGGTTTGGTATTCTTGGAGTAGTTTTGAAGCCACAAGCCAAGATGTTACAGATCTTTATTCGGCTAACGTTTCGGCTTGGTCGCCTTCGTCAGAGCCTGGAAAGTCAAAGATCAGTGCGACCTACCGCAGACATCATTTCCGACTTCGAAATAGTCCCCATAGACCAGAAGAATCCATGGGGGGCATCATAAACCACAAGCACCAGCTGACTCACCTTAGATGTAACCGGTACATAGAGGAATACATAGCAACCTGTTACTAAGAAATATAATATTGTAGCTACAGCTAGAATCGCTTCAAAGGACGAATTCACGATGAAAAAGCAACCCATTTCAAATTTACCTAGGGATGGTGAGTGGTACACGAAAGAAGGAAGAACCATGAGAAACGGCCCAGAACCCGAGAAATGGGACCCCTTCCTTGCCCGTTGATTTCGAGCATTGATGCGACTCTCATCGCTGTGCCCTCTTCAACACTACGCTCTCTCAGCTATCTAATCACTCGCCACGTATTGAACTACGGCGAGTGATCAGATGATCGGTGGGCGGAGATCGCCGGACCCGCCAGCTTTGAGGCATGATAGGTCGCCGAGGTCAAATTTTTCCATGCGAATTGCGCGTCAGTTCGCACCCTCAGGAGGTCCGTGGGTCCCTCAACTAGGTCAGTTTCCCTTTCTTCGACCTTCATTCTAATCGTGAATTCCTCCTGAGTGGCCAACATCCAGAGTTCGTAATATTGGCGCTGCAAAACGTACATGTTACAAACTTGCAGAAGGGGAGCCGGGGGACAGGAAGTTTCTATTACCCGTATTGTCTGGTTTTCTAATAGCCTCCATTGAAGTTTGTGATCATGAAGGATGATCTGTGGTGGGAACATCACGGTTTCTTCCTTTTTAGGTCTTACTAGCTCTACACAGTATTGGTCGGCGCAAAGCTCGTATGGTGTTCATTCTGGGACCGTTAGATGGTCGCCGCCTTGGATACACTGGATATTGTATTGAGAAGTGGGGTGAGAAGGGGTCTGAGCCGTCGCAACACATAGGAGGGAGAGCAACTGTACGAGGCTCGCTAGTAGAAACGTATTGAGGGAAGGGGTGCCGCCCATCCCGTATTGATCTTCACTGTAAGTTTATTGGTTTTCTATGGCGAAAGTGATACCGGGGTTCTTCCTGTGGAGTAATGGGTTCAGAAGTGTAGTATTCCTACTCGCCGAAGGCGCGATAGCGTGCTCGTCATGTCGTTCTTCGGTTGCGCCGACGGTTCTTCGCGAATACCTTCTTCGATTTCCAACGGTACAAGGAGATTGATTGGTCGTCTAATTCGCCGACGCGTCGGTAGACGAACCGCTTCCCGCACTGTACCACTCGCGTTACATACTAGTTCCTGTATGATGCCCATTTTCCAAGTATGACGGGGTAGCAGCGTCTCACTTAACACTAAAGTTCCTTCTCGTGGAGCTTGTGTGCATCCTTTTTTAGTCTTAACGTGAAGGGTATGCTTTTCCCTAAGGTTAGTGAGATACTGGGTTTGCCATACTTGCCAGAATTGTTCGGTCAGTCTGTATGATGACTCCAACGCCGCAACTGCTTGATTGCCTCGTTTGAAGCGCCACTAGTTCCTTCAGATGGTACATAGATAGGATCGTGATCGTCTTCAGGAGGGTGACCAAGGAAAAGATAGAACCATCTCCCTCTGTATGAAATCTATGGGACGCAGAATCTCGATATTGTCAAAGTCGGACCCGACGTAGGTCAGGGGGAGTATTGAGCATGGCTTCTATCTCAATAAGCACTGTGGTTAGTGTGTCTGGTGGTACTATTGCGCCTCCTAACGTTTTGTAGAGGGAGTGCTTTATGGATTTTATGAGCCTTTCATAGAAACCTCCCTGCCAAGGAGCATAAGGTGTTATATGCTTCCATTCTATTCCGTTATTGGTAATTTCTGTTGTAACGGCCGGGTCATGTAACGCCACTTTTATGCATTCTTTTATAGGTTGATGCAAAACTCTTGAGACACTCACTGCGTGTTTTAAAATCTTTTACAATTTTATTCAAACTCTAACTCAATAAACTATATAATCACCATCATTATCTATGACATTCATCCAACGAATAGGCAAGTCGGCTATTCCCTTCTCCCAGAAAGAGGGGGACTGTGAGTCAAAGAAGTCAGTCACAGCATTTTTGAGGTCATCAAAAGTGGCGAACTTCTTCTTGACCAGGAATTGCTTGAGATGCCTAAAAAGATGATAGTCAGAAGGGGCGAGGTCGGGGGAATAGGGAGGGTGGGGAACGGTATTCCAGCCTGAGCTCCTGTAGCCTGGACTGCGTGATCTTTGCGACGTGAGGCCGAGCGTTATCATGCAGAAGATGGACAGAAACCCTTCTCGGTCGCTTTTCTTCGATTGCATAAGCGAGTTCCTGAAGCTGGCGACTGTAAATGGTAGCCGTGACTGCCTGGCCTTGAGGGAGCAACTCTTGGTACAGCATTCCCTTTGAGTCCCAGAAGCAGCACAGCAAAACCTTCTTTGAGTGCTGTGCCGGGCTGGGCTGCACGGGTGGATCTTCTTCTTTTGGGAGCCAGACTGCGACCATCTTGTTGTTGTCAAAGAATATCCAACTCTCATCCCCGACCAGATCTTGCATGAACTCCTTCCGATTTGGGGTAAGGAGGAGCGACTGCGCGATGAGACAACGCGTTGACGCAGATCGTCGCGTCGATGCGATCCATCGAGCAAGAACTTTCCTGTAACCGTGTCTTGAAGGTGTCGAACGACGTTGCTGTGATCGCATTCGAGAAGCTCCGCCAATTATCTGCTCGTAGCCTCCGGCTTCCTCCTTCACCTTGCTGAGAAGTTGATCGCCTTTGATAACAACTGGTCGCCCGGAGCGGGGGTTGTCGTCGAGCATCGTATCTCCAGACTGAAAACGAACGAATAAACGATCTAACTCTTGCATGGCTGACGAGGTTCTCTCCGAATGCAGTGTTGATATTGGAGGCAGTGGAACGAGCACTGGAACCGCGGCGCCACTCGCAGAAGGCGATTGCTCGAAGTTGACTTCTTGACAATTGCGACATGGTTTATAAAGGGCTCGGGGACCCATTTAAATACAGCTAGCGGTAACTCTGAGATTGTTCCAGAATATGGTGAAATCACGACGGTAGCAAAGATTCTTGTAGAGACATGACGATCCATGTAAATTTGTGTCTCAGGACTTTTGCACCAACCTAACTAATATGAAAGTTGAGCCATGCGATCTAACTTTGACTGTACTGATTCCTTCTTCGTTCAAAGAACCGCCGCAGCATATTCCAAAGAATTGAGATTGTACTAAGATCTGCTACCACATCTAGAAGTAGCATACGGGTTACCATGCAAAATATGGCTCCGTAACACTTGCCGTGCCCTTGTTTTTCTCCCAGTTCCTTCACAGAAAGTGGACCAAAGTAATCCAGGCCTACATGTTGGAATGGAGCGAGTCAAAAACTACACTGCTCTCTTAAGTCGGTCTTGAACGTGTACCTATAAGGCAGGTTATTGAACTTCTGGCATTGTAAACACCTCCTGATTAATCTCTGTACTTGGGAACGCAGATGAGGTATCCAATATTCTTGACGAATTAACGCGATCGTATGATTCATACCTGGGTGGTGGTGCTGGTGGAAATCCCGAATGATCATTTCTGCCAAAGGCGTGTTTTGATTCAGTGGTAGTTTACAAGGTGTTTAATAAATCATTTATTAATTACAAAGCAACTATGATCAAACACACAATGGAGAAGAGACAGGAGAGGATAGAAGTTGTTATCGTTGTACATTACTACATCTCGTATTGTTGTCCTTAGGCTATGTGTCCGAGTGTAAGTCATCTTGTCGTCTTAACGATTGCGATGTCCCTGCGCCAATAGAATCGTCGTGTCGTAGTTGTAAAGGTTAGGGTAGATGGTGTGCGACCGTAATCGCTTGACGAGAGGGGCGGAGCCCCAGAAGGAAGAGAGAAGAGTTGAAAGAGGCTAAACTAAAGGTGACACCGAAGTGGAAGACTGCCTCTGCCGCCCGGAGCGCGCTCTTTATACCTCCCAGAAGGGGCGGTATATATACCTGTGCTAGTAGGCGGTCCGGTGGGCATGGCAATTTGGAATTGGTTGTAGTTTGTACGCGGTAAATTCAAAATGTATATGCCATGTTTCGGCACTTGTTTGTTGTAACAGGGCTTAGCCTTAGGGTATTTAGGGGACCAGTCTTTATCATGACTGGGAAGTCATGACACTCCGCACGACGACGAAAGGTATGGAAACGCAGGAATTTGCCGTTTGCATCCTCCCCGCCACCGAGTGTAGGTAATTGTATTGTGTTTGTTTCGTAGACAAGAATATGAAGAGGGAAGTGAGGTACATACAACACGAAGAAAAATCAGTAGTAGACATAGCAAAGAACAAAAACAATACTAAGAAAAAAGCACTATACAAGTCTAAGGTAAGAAGAAAAAAGGAAAAAACTATACAATTCTACGAAATGATCCTACAACATCCTGATTCTTCGGAAACTGGGAGAAGGTAGTAGACGTGGAAGACGTGGAGAGTTGTGTGTGGTTGTCCTTGAAGAAGTGGCAGAAGTAGCTGGGGGTTGACGTAGACCGTTGCTGACGATGGAGGTCTTAGTGCTTGACGAGTCGTGATGATGCCAGGAGTCGTAGAGGAAGTCGAAGCATGAATACTTGCGAGAGAGAAAAGGTGTTTGATGATAGTGAGGAGAAAGAGGATTATTCGTAGAGGGGGAAAGATTGTGATGATGAGGTGACTAGAAGATTTTCTTGTTTTTGTTGGTGGGTGTGACAAACGAGGGAGAACGGACTGCAGCTGCAGAGCTAATTAGCTAGGAAGACGGTCAGAGAGAAGAGGAAGGAATTGTTTGCATGTTTCCAAGAAATGAGAGAAATCAGGAAGAGAGAGATCAATTGTAAATGAGGAGGTGTTTGTGTCTGTGTTATTGTCCCATAGGTGGATGTAATTCCATAGGGGTTTTATCCCATTTATGTAATTGAGTGTACCTTTGATTTCGAAAATTGTTATGTGTGAGCTACATTGAGCTTTACAAGTCTCTTGTATTCGGGCTTTGTTGAAAAATAAAAGCACATAGTTGTATGTTCCAGATCTTGTACAAGTTAATGTGAATTGTTGCATTCCACAGGTAACCTGTGCTGTCGACTCAACAGTGTCAGATTGACAGAAGATTGTGGCTACCGAGCCTTTGGCCGCAGTATAGCAACCATGTAGTTGTTGGAGAATTTTGCCACTGAAATTTATCACTCTTGTGAATATTGTTTGTGTTTTGTCTGTGGAGATTATCAACTATTACTCGTTTCTGACGTACGTATGTTGTTAACCTTCTGTTGTTACTAGGCCATTTGGTAGTGGTAGAGGCAAGGTGTTCGGTAGTTGCGTCATTTGTCAAATGTTGTTGTTAGTGCAATAACAATTGACCGAGTTTTCGGCGGGAGTACATTTGCATGTGTCCTTTGATGATGCAATTCTGGGTGTTGTTGGTCGTTTGTTGTGAAGAGACTACAGCAGCTAAATCTGTATCTGGCGGAATGTATGCCGCGTATATGTTAGTAAATAATTCGCTGTTAATGTTGATATTGGCGCTAATTGAAAGCTTAATTTCGAGAGTGTTGCTTACGCGCTTGTTAGTGTACGGTGTTAATTCGAAGGTTTGGAGTCTCTGTTTGGCCTCCATTTATTTGTATGGTGAGCGAGATTGTTTCGAACCATGTCGGACATTGGAAAACTTCGTAGATAGTGTCATCAACTGGTAAGTGGTATATGCGATAAAAAAGACATCCGGATGATGATACCGTAATGAGCAATCCGAGCCAACCGCAAGACTCGGAGCAGTAGGTAATGCCGGTATAGTTGTTGGCGTCATAGAGTTTCTTCGACATGGGTATTGTAGTTGATTTTCGCGCATTTGAGGTCTTTACATGTGCCCATACCGGGACATCGTTTCTGATATTTAACTTTTGTGACGGTATTTCGCGTGTAGTAGAGCGTTTCTTTGCGACATCTGAGGGTCAAAGCTTTTAAGGTTATGCGCATAATATGTACTTGTCGCTTGCCGTGTGTTAGCTGAATGCAAACCTCAGGTTGCATTTGGTTAAGTTGTGTGATGAGCGTGGTTTGATTGTGGCAGTTCTTTTCCTGTGGGCCGCACTGTGTATAGTTGATGGTATTAGCATAGTTTGCTGGCAGCAAGACACTATTGAAGTCGTGGTAGCTAGAATCGTGATTAATCGTAACATTGTTGTTGTTTTCCATTTGGTGCTGCTGTTGTCAATCGTGATAAGTGGTATGTCATCTTCTGTCTCTTGTTTTTTGGCAGGTCTACACCATTGGAAAATTTTCCAGAGGCAACTCATTTTTGTACGCGTGCGAGAACAGAGTCGGAAAGTTTTTTGTAACAGCGAGATGCCGATGTAAGTTGTTAGTGCGATTATATAAAGTAGCGTCGCAGTTACGGCTATTGCGATTCTAGGCCAGCATTCGGGATTGGAAATCATTTGCGTGCAGAAATTGCACGTGAATTTGCTCACAAAATGGGCTAGGAGGACAAGCCCAGTGCGTTGCTTGTGTCTCGTTTCCGATGAGAGATTTGAGAGTGACGTGGTATGTATGAAGAGTAATTTCTGGTGGGAATTGGACATTCATATTTTGGTCTGGTTGTTGTATTTCGACACAATAGTCGTTTCCGCACACTTGCATACGTTCCGCTTGCTGTATTGTTTGTATATTAAATTCCCCCTGTAACGCATTGCAAATGTGCTTTTTGATTGGTTAGTGAATGTGCACATTGGAAAAGTGTTATTGTTAAAGCTATTGTAAGCCAATGTTTCCATAACGCTGAATTAGTAAAGACTCTGTCGTTGTGCTGGTTTGTTACTTGTAGTTTTGTTTTGTTTTTGCTTTTTCGCGTAAAGAAATGGCGCTGACCGTGATTGTTGTGCTTGTATCGAGGTTCTGGAACAGTACCTAGCTTGGCAGCTCTCGCCGTGTCGCTGCTGTCTATAGCGTTCATACTTTGTTGTGAGAAGATTTGTACGGCAATGTTTCTTCGTCTAGTTCAAGCGGAATTAACATGTTGATTGAGCGTTCTAACTCTGATGTAGAAGTTCGCAGTTTCACTGATCGTACATTACCGTCTTGATCTTGAATTAGACTTGTTACGAGGCCTAATGGCCAATTTATGCGTGGGATCTCCTCGTCCATAATGAGAACGACCTCTCCAATATGTGGTTGTTTTCTTGTAAAACTCTTTTGTTTAATTCGAAGTTGGTGATGGTTTCGTAATTCGAGGAGGTAGGTTTTCGTCCAAAGGTTCCATAGATGTTTACGATACCTAGTGTTTGGAGCATTTTATGCTTTTGGCTTTGTTTGTCGACTCTAGGTACATATAGTAAGTCTTTTTCACTGATTTCTATATCATGCTTGTAAATAGGCAGTGAGGTTCGCGGGTATGTACAGAAGTCTATTGGACGAATTATTAGGGAATCGTCTACTGTGCTTCCCGTATATGCGAGTGGTCGTGAATTAACCATTGCTTCGCATTCTGTTACGATCGTATTAAAGCTGCAGTCGTTTAGTATTTTATGTATGAAAAATCGTTTAAGTTGATTTCATGATGCCAATCATACGCTCGTAGAATCCACCTTTCCAGGGGGAGAGAGGTGTTATGAATTTCCATTGCATTTTCTCATTGGCTAGGAAAGCTTGCAAAGTCTTGTCTTGCGGGTAATTTCCGCTATCAGATGAAGCTAGTATATCGTTAGCAAGTCTGAAGTTCGTTGCGTTGTCTGATATGATGAGTTGTGGTGTTCCTCGACGAGAGATGAATCGTCTCAGTACATTGATAATTTGGAGCCCACTCAAGTCGTTGACTATATCTAGGTGTATAGCTCGAGTTGTCATGCAAGTGAAGAGACATATCCACCTCTTGCTGGTGTTCTGTTCAGGGCCAATTATTTGGTATGGACCGGCAAGGTCTATACCGATGTGGGAAAAGGGTCGTGTTGGTTGCACACGTGCGGATGGTAGAGGAGGAGATATAGGATAGTAGTAAGGCTTTCCATTCCATCGTTTGCATGGAAGGCATTTTCGTAGGATCTTTCGTACAATCTGTCTGCCTCTGGGTATCCAATACATAAGGCGTAAGTTGGCTAAGGTTCCATTCACACCTTGATGACCGCAACGGCCGTGGGTGTCTTCGTATGATTAGTCCTGTCAGAGGTTGATCTGGGAGTAAGAGAATTGGGTCTCGAGCATCTCTTGTGAGGTGCTCGGATTGTATGCGACCTCGGCATCTGATGACGCCATTCTCATCCTTGTATAGGGCCAGGTGATTCCATTTGCGATGATGTTCCTTCGTTAGACTGCGTTGTGTGAGCTTAAGCAGGAGCTGTTCGGCCATCTTGATATCTTGAGCTTGAGGAAGTGAGATTGGTTTGGTTGAAGTTATTTTTGCGAGTTCTGGTGCGCTTGTTGTGAGTGTATCTTTAGTGTCGTCAGGGAGTCTGTCATAGATATAACACTTCAGAAATTTAAGAACTAGAGCTGTCACGTGTCGTAAGGAGTTAAGGGAACTGAATTTTGTGAGTAGATTGAGAGAACATGGTTCAGAAGAAGTGATGGATGGTGTGGACGTGGATAGGATTGTGTGCAATGTGTCTTGGTCTGGAATTTGGTCGTCTTTAGGGTGCCAAGAGAACTCGAGAAGTGATGGCCATTTTGATTGGTCATCTTGCAGGAAGGATGGTCCTGACCACCAGCGGTGCAGGTGCATTTGGTCCTTTGTAAGCCCTTTTGTTGCGCAATCTGCGGGATTATTATCGGAGGGAATGTAATGTAAGTAGCTTAGTATTGTATGTTCTTGTGACCATGATTGTATTTTTTGTCTGATTTCTTTGCATCGATTATCCACGAATGGTCCATTCTTTGTTTGGGATTGCACCCAGTGCAGAGCTACCTGTGAATCGCTGTAGATTCTAATGGTTTCTATGTTTATCTTGAGTTCCCTTACTAGGAAGTTCGTGAGTCGGACTCCGATTAAGAGTGCGAGAAGTTCTAATCGTGGGATTGTCATGGTTTTTGCGTTGATTGGTGCTAGGCGTTGTCGAGCCATTAGGATCGAGCTTGTAATGTACCCTTTGTTGTTTGTTGATCGCAAGTAGACTACGGTGGCATAAGCGCGGGCTGATGCGTCAACGAAGGAGTGGAGTTCGTATCGAACTCCAGTGTAGTTGTTTACAATCGTTCGTGGAAGGTGCACAGTAAAGCCATCTGCCTGTTCGCAAATTGTTTTCCATGTGTTATTGTTTGTTTCTGGTAGTGGTTCATCCCAATTGTGCTTGTGTTTCCAGAGATCTTGCAGGAAAATTTTGGCGGGTAGCAGTAGAGGTGTTAGGAGACCAAGCGGGTCAAAGGTAGAGTGTGCTGATTGTAAGACTTTCCGTTTAGTTGGGTTTGGTTCGTAGTTGAGTTTGCACAAAATGGAAAGTGTATCAGTCGAGTGATTCCATGGAATGCCTAATATTTTGGTTGTTTGTGAAGTGGATTTATCCTTTTCATCTATTGATTTGTTACAATCTGCGTCGTTTGTAATGAATTGGCGAAGATTCATTGACATGTTGGAGAATATATTCTTGCACGCGTGGTAAGTGGCAAGAAGAGATTCTGTTGAATAGTCGAGCATAAGGACGTTGTCCACGTATAGGTTCTCAATAAGTCGCTGGGTAATGGTGTCATCTTGATGTTTTTGCTGTTCAATTCCACATTGAATGGATATCCCAAGAAGAAACGTTGAAGCGTTT